CTTGCAAAAAAGGCTCTAAATTTGTTGTACTGTGTAATAATGCATGTATATGTACATACATACATACCTCCGAGTTTGTAACGAGTCATTCAGAAATGCCATTTGTGCCGAGTGCGGAAAATATTTTTTCTCTCCACTTGACCCACTCCTAGTACCGAATTCTTTCCACTTACTGTAACAATACCGTAAGGAACTCCATCGCTTTCCTATGGCTTTTATATTCTCTTGAGAAACCAGAAGACCTTAAAAAAAAAATAGATGGAATATGCCTATGTCGGTGTATACATTTATCTTTTACCAAGTTCTCCGAGAAATTCTTGCCAAGCCTTGCTTCGCAACGTTTGATTCCTGTAGGAATTTTGGCGGATGTCCCATAAACTAGGCCGAGAACGAACGGCTTCTATAAATAAGCCTAACGAAATTGGAAATATCAACACATGTATAGATATAAATACTTAGAAATAGTGTTAGCTTACCATTGTCTTGAAAATGTAAATTCTCTGCTGTATCCATCTGAAACGAACTTTGTATTATCACAAAACAAAATACTGATTTTTAATGAAAGATATACATATGTATGTTTTTGAACTAACGTTTGTTCTGCTAATGATGAAAATTTTTGTTTTGAAAAATTAAAAAAAAGCATTGACAATAATTTGAAAACTCAAAGCAAAGTAATGCCGTTTTTCTTTAATACGAAGGATTTTAACCAAAAATGGACGGATTTTAAGTAAAACAATATCTGGCACCGCTGCATTTTATAATAGTTGTTATAGGAAATGATATGATCACTCAATTTGCTATTACAACTTATAGCCGCACTATTTGAGTGTATCAACAATTCATACAGATTCATACCATGTAAATTCAGCATAACGATTTGCAGATCGTACTCGCTGTATTCGCTCGCGCTCAAAAATCTTTAATGTATGTACAGTGACGAGCAAAACTGTAACATGGTTTAACACTTTTTGTTTCAGCCACCGCTATATTTCCAAGTTCTAACGACTTTCGTCCTTTTGTTGAATATCCTTGTTGGTACATCCCTACTCCCTCTCTCATAATGATTTGAAGTCAATACAACAACAATAAAAAAACCAGCAGACAAAAATGTAAATTAAGGCAGATGTTACAGTTTTGCACTCATATATTTTTATGAGCTTTTTAACAATTTTCACGAAAAAAAAGGACTACTAACACAATGTTCAGTACTCTTTTGCCTGTTTCAGTTCCTGGATGTGCTTTGGCATACCTTATTTG